TTTGTCTTTCGGCACTGATGAGCATGCCGTAGGACGACGAGGTCTTGTCGAGACGCTAGGTTGGCTATAGCTCTTCTTCGTTCCCAGCCAATCCGTCTATGTTGTCCACAAAGCGTAGGTTGGGGATTGTTCTGCCACCAATGCTGACAGTCCCTTCATGCGATTCCAGAGCATATTATTATAGCTAAATAAGAGTCTTCTAAAAAAAGCCCAAAATATAAGTTAAGTTATCAATGCTACACACAATATTTAAAAATCTTTATAATTTTCCCAATTAAAATGTATAAAATTTGCTGACTTGTTCTTGTAACTTATTTTTATTTAATTAATTAATTTTGTTTGATTATATTTTTTTAAATTTCCCAATAAAAAAATACTAATTAAAATATTCTTTAGATATTATGATTTCAAATTTTATGTGGAACTGTTTAACATCTATAAGTATATACAAATTAAATAAGGATTATTTGATTCATTTAAATTAGTCCAAATCGATGCTTATACTTTTTATTTTACCATATTTCTCTATATATAGTCACAGTGGTTGGCAAAGTCATTTTGAAAAAAAAATTATAAAAAATAAATATTAGGACTTTACTAATATTATAAAAAAAATAACTAAAAATGGTCCAGTAGGAAATTGAATGAACTAATAATACTAAATATGATCTTTATGATTCAAACTGAAATCTCAACATTCATACCCCTTATTTGCATAAATTATGCATGCAATTTATTTTCACCTAGAGTTTTTCTAAATGAAGTCATATCTTTAAGACCTTCTCCTAGTTATTTAGATAGGGCTTGAAAAAAAAATTGATTGGTACCAAATTTATGGTTGTTGGTCTATTCTCAAGAAAGTTATGATTTTTTTGTGTTAATTATTTGGACATAAGAATATATAAAAGTGACCAAAATAAAAATCTGAGCAAAGAATTTTGAGAGTGCTGCCACTCCTTGGTCATATTTTCAAGCCTTAAATTCATAAGTGTTAAACAATGCTCTCCATAGAGAAATGTATTCTGCATACCCAAGTGATTACTCTTTTGAAACTTTAATAAAATAGTTGGGGTAAGGTGGGAAATTTATTTGCCCATTCTTGTAGTTGTAGATACTTAAATTGGCGTTGAAATGTGGTTATCATGAAAATCGCAACCGGTTTGACAATGTTCAGGAAATGAAATAGTAGACTTAGCTTAATTCAACTTGATTTATTTTCCCCCCAAAATTCTTGATAAAAAATCATTAACAGTTATATTGCTCAGCATCCAATTCTCTTCAAATTGATATCTATCACACAACCTATTTAACAATGAAATGACAGCAAACCGTGCGCATTTACATTTTCAAGTGGACAAAAATTTGAACCATTGGTATGTAACTCTGCAATAATAAGTACGTAAAAAAAGTCAAATCCCCACCACAGGTGCAGCTCAATAAATTAATACACAATTATGACTTATCAGTAAAAAAAAAATGTGTCACAGGTTTTCATCACTGTTAAGACAGCACAATAGTTCCCAAAATATGCACTCACCTGGGGTGTAGTGTTGCCCTTTATTTAATAAAAATGTAATAACTTTCTCAAAGAAATGTATCAGTTAGAATTTAGTCATCCTGGTTTTTTTTTTTTTTTTTTTTTTTTTTTTTTTTTTTTTTTTTTTTTTTTTTTGGGGGGGGGGTGTCATGGTGAGTTCGTAGGTGGCTTGCTATAAAGAGCCATCATCCACACTTATTGTAAACTTGTCATGTCATTTATCGTGGCTTCAAAGTGAATATTATTGCGTGATATTATGACCCTATTAGAGATATAGTCTATTAATGGACTGTCAGAATTTCAGGAAAATTATTTTTTTTAGTGTGAATAAATGAACATTCTTGCTGTCAAGACACCCCCCCCCCCTTCTTCCCCGCTATATACACATGTATGGGCGCCCGCAGAAAACTTTCTAGNTTTGTATTGTGAACGAACGGACATGACATCAGCTTAGTTTCTTTCTTTTTATTTTCTCTTTACTTTAATACTTTTTTTGTCTTGTTTTTTTCTAAAAAAAAAATTTCCAATCAATCCCGGGGGGGGGGGGGCAAGTGTCCCCCTTGCCTCCCCCTGCGGGCGCCCATATGCACATGTATGCAAAATCTCAAAAATCGACAACTCCCACTTAGTGTACATACTGTATGAATGGCCCTTACCATTAATTTAATTTTGCATCAATTATTTTTGCTTTTTTTTTTTATGTTGCCTAGATTTAGGGTTAGACAAACCCATGGTCAAAGTTGCCAGAAAATGTTTACCTGGCAACTTAATTTTTTCATGGTTTTCTTAGATCTTGTTTTGTTTGTTTTTTTTTTTGGTTTTTTTTTAAAAGAAAGAAATGACTCCTGAAAGTTAGGGCTGTCTTGAAATCCCCTTGGTTGAGAGAATTATTTTTGATGATTTTTTAAAACCATCTTGATTAGCACTATTGAAATAATTTACTTAAGACCAGTCCTGCTAGCATTTAAGAAATCCAGCACATAACTGATGATGTAAATCTTTTCTATGTAATGTAATTTTTACTGCTCTTGCTTTACAGCAGTGGGATATTTTGATATAGCAGTGGGATATTTTGATATAGCAGTGGAAGATGTAAATTGTATGTTATATTTTAAAAGCACATCTCTGTTATTTTTACACATGTAAAGGACGCTGACATTATCAGTAGTTAGCATTGAAAGATCTGACCTCTGAGCCAGAGAGTTAGCATTGAAAGATCAGACCTCTGAGCCAGAACGTTAGCATTGAAATATCCGACCACTGAGCCAGAGAGTTAGCATTGAAAGATCCGACCACTGAGCCAGAGAGTTAGCATTGAAAGATCTGACCTCTGAGCCAGAAAGTTAGCATTGAAAGATCAGACCTCTGAGCCAGAACGTTAGCATTGAAAGATCCGAACACTGAGCCAGAGAGTTAGCATTGAAAGATCAGACCTCTGAGCCAGAACGTTAGCATTGAAAGATCCGACCACTGAGCCAGAGAGTTAGCATTGAAAGATCCGACCTCTGAGCCAGAAAGTTAGCATTGAAAGATCTGACCTCTTAGCCAGAAAGTTAGCATTGAAAGATCCGACCACTGAGCCAGAGAGTTAGCATTGAAAGATCCGACCACTGAGCCAGAGAGTTAGCATTGAAAGTTCTGACCTCTGAGCCAGAAAGTTAGCATTGAAAGATCTGACCTCTGAGCCAGAAAGTTAGCATTGAAAGATCCGACCACTGAGCCAGAACGTTAGCATTGAAAGATCTGACCACTGAGCCAGAAAGTTAGCATTGAAAGATCCGACCACTGAGCCAGAACGTTAGCATTGAAAGATCCGACCACTGAGCCAGAGAGTTAGCATTGAAAGATCAGACCTCTGAGCCAGAACGTTAGCATTGAAAGATCCGACCACTGAGCCAGAGAGTTAGCATTGAAAGTTGTGACCTCTGAGCCAGAAAGTTAGCATTGAAAGATCCGACCACTGAGCCAGAGAGTTAGCATTGAAAGTTCTGACCTCTGAGCCAGAAAGTTAGCATTGAAAGATCTGACCTCTGAGCCAGAAAGTTAGCATTGAAAGATCCGACCACTGAGCCAGAACGTTAGCATTGAAAGATCTGACCACTGAGCCAGAAAGTTAGCATTGAAAGATCCGACCACTGAGCCAGAACGTTAGCATTGAAAGATCCGACCACTGAGCCAGAGAGTTAGCATTGAAAGATCTGACCTCTGAGCCAGAAAGTTAGCATTGAAAGATCTGACCTCTGAGCCAGAAAGTTAGCATTGAAAGATCCGACCTCTGAGCCAGAACGTTAGCATTGAAAGATCCGACCACTGAGCCAGAGAGTTAGCATTGAAAGATCTGACCTCTGAGCCAGAAAGTTAGCATTGAAAGATCTGACCTCTGAGCCAGAAAGTTAGCATTGAAAGATCCGACCTCTGAGCCAGAACGTTAGCATTGAAAGATCCGACCACTGAGCCAGAGAGTTAGCATTGAAAGATCTGACCTCTGAGCCAGAAAGTTAGCATTGAAAGATCTGACCTCTGAGCCAGAAAGTTAGCATTGAAAGATCCGACCTCTGAGCCAGAACGTTAGCATTGAAAGATCCGACCACTGAGCCAGAGAGTTAGCATTGAAAGATCTGACCTCTGAGCCAGAAAGTTAGCATTGAAAGATCTGACCTCTGAGCCAGAACGTTAGCATTGAAAGATCCGACCACTGAGCCAGAACGTTAGCATTGAAAGATCTGACCACTGAGCCAGAAAGTTAGCATTGAAAGATCCGACCACTGAGCCAGAACGTTAGCATTGAAAGATCCGACCACTGAGCCAGAAAGTTAGCATTGAAAGATCTGACCACTGAGCCAGAAAGTTAGCATTGAAAGATCTGACCTCTGAGCCAGAACGTTAGCATTGAAAGATCCGACCACTGAGCCAGAGAGTTAGCATTGAAAGTTCCGACATCTGAGCCAGAAAGTTAGCATTGAAAGATCTGACCACTGAGCCAGAAAGTTAGCATTGAAAGATCCGACCACTGAGCCAGAAAGTTAGCATTGAAAAATCCGACCACTGAGCCAGAACGTTAGCATCCGACCACTGAGCCAGAGAGTTAGCATTGAAAGATCTGACCTCTGAGCCAGAAAGTTAGCATTGAAAGATCTGACCACTGAGCCAGAATAAAATCATATTTTCAGGTGTTTGAGTTTGCCAAATAAAAGATGTTGTATAGCAAAATTTGATTTCCTCTCCCGTGCAATGTATAAGATCCATGGATGGGCCTTTCTTTAATTCTAATTTTATTTTTACTTGAAACAGGCTGGCAACTTGGGACAACAGAGAGTAGTCAAGGATCACAGGCAAGCATCGTCTCGTTCTGGTATGCTCAGTGGTGCCGCCAAACATTTATCTTTTAGACTCTGGCTACGAATCAGACTTTACTGATGAACTCTGGGCCAAAATCGGCTCGTCTTCTCACTCTACAGAAATGGTTAAAAGTCTGAATCTCATTTTCTGTGAGCTGAGGAGGGGTGGGAATCAAGGCGTTCATCCACAAAGATAACGAGACGACGCTAGCCAAATTGGTGAGGCCGTCTTATTCAGGTATGGCCTCCTTCCCATCGCTGACTGGACAACTGCCCCTGCAGCTGATTGCTGAGATTAGGCTGGAGAAAATGCGTAAGTACTACAGGTCTATCTTCATCAACAACAATTTATGCACATCAGAACAATGGTCCTTGTTCTTTCGTGCTCTGACCCCGACATTTGATGACATGATGAATATTGAGGAGCTCAGCCTTAAACTGTTGTGTACCCTGTATGATATAATGAGTAAGCTGCATCACTGCTTGGAGGTAGTGTCTGTGATAGATGCATTCACAGAGAACCAATTGCTGGCCAGCTTCACTCTCGCTGTCATGGACTATTATGAAAATGAGAAGCTGAATTGGTCCCAGACTTTCAGCTTCAAGATGACCGCACTGCAGGCTGCTACAGAGTTGAAGAGAGTTCCACTGATTTTTCTGAGGAGGGAGGACATAACAGAAGGTGTGTCTACGGTAGAATGCCTGATGTCTGAAGCACCAGAAGATTTGAATGTGTCTGTGTCTTCTGCTTCATCTGATCTTTCAATGGATGCCGGTATTTCCAAGGAATTTGTTATTTTTAAAACTGAGGAAGATCTGCACTGTTTGTGTACAGTTTAGGGACTAAGGAAGATCTGCACTGTTTGTGTACAGTTTAGGGACTAAGGAAGATCTGCACTGTTTGTGTACAGTTTAGGGACTAAGGAAGATCAGCACTGTTTGTGTACAGTTTAGGGACTAAGGAAGATCTGCACTGTTTGTGTACAGTTTAGGGACTAAGGAAGATCTGCACTGTTTGTGTACAGTTTAGGGACTAAGGAAGATCTGCACTGTTTGTGTACAGTTTAGGTGGGGGGGGGAGGAATTTTGTTATCATATTTTTAAACTCGGTTTTATTGTTAAAAGTTACATGGTGATCTTTAGTTATGTTTGAATTTGCTCCAATCATTTCCCAAACTTGATACAATAATGTAATTTGATTTAATTGAATATTTACTTGAAAATGAAACTAAAAATTCAATCTTAAAAATGATCCTTGAAAACGAGTTGTCTTCACATTGTTATTTATTGAATGAACAGCTGAAAATGTACATTGACAAAAAGAGAAGCTTGTTCCAGAGAAGACACTTGCAATACCAGTAATAAAAATTATAAAATTGTAAATTATAGACTGCAAGTGCAGGCCTTAGAAGGCCTTGTGTACACTTAACAAAACCTTTTCCTAATAGTTGCTTTATATCATGGCAGAAATATCTGGCTAGATATTCATTAGGGCTATCATGATGCATCTGGCCTCTGTAACATACAGTATATCCTATCTTACAGTCTGGCTTCTATTGCAGTCTGTCCTCTCTTGCAGTCTGTCCTCTCTTGCAGTCTGTCCTCTCTTACAGTCTGTCCTCTCTTACTTACAGTCTGTCCTCTCTTACAGTCTGTCCTCTCTAACAGTCTGTCCTCTCTTGAAGTCTGTCCTCTCTTGCAGTCTGTCCTCTCTTATCGTCTGGCCCCTCTTAAAATGTTTTCTTTATGTTTTTAGTTAGCAAATGTTTTTACAAATCTGTTATGAGTATAAGTAATTATGTCATCAGAGGAGTCAAAAGTTATTATTTTCACGATAAATGCCCAGATAAGATGTTATCAAAACGTCAGTTGTCAACTAAAAGTCTAGAGTGGTTTGGGAACCACTGGTCTAGGTCAGGGTGTCGGGTACCTTTTTGTCTGAGAGAGCCATGGACACCACATATTTTGAAAAGTAATTCTGTGAGAGCCATACGTTATGTTTAAAACTAAAAATTCCAGTCAATGTTGGCATTTTGTGTCATGTCAACACGAAAACTTTTAGGTCAGCGGAGTTTATCTCCCTTACCACTTCTGATTCTGACTTGCAGTGGACTTTAGCTCATCTGTAGAATGAAATATTGATAAGCAATTAATATGTAGATCAAGCGAGTCTAAAGAATCTTTTTTTTTTTTAAATAATCGAACATTTTTCTGCGAGCCAGATGCAGCCATCAACAGAGCCACATCTGGCTCGCGAGCCATAGGTTCCGACCCCTGGTCTAGGTGATTGTCATAAAAAGTGCCGGGTACTGTTAAAAAAATGAGCAGTCAGGGTCAAATTATTTGGTTATGTGCATTCGCTGATTTTAAAATATAAATGTTTCTAACTCCAGACTTGTCTCAGTGGCCTCATATTCGAACTTGTCATGTCCACCTACCTCAAGCGTCATGGGAAATGTTTTATCTGGTTATCTTGTCGAAATACGGTTTTTGATCTTATAAAAATTGTCCACAAAACACTTTGTTACCTTAACGAAATAGTTTAGCACAAGAATCGATAAAACCACAGGTGACTAGACAAGAGTGGCGCATGCATTCAAAAATTTCTGTTACTAAATCTTACACATGTTATGTGCAGAGCACCCGTAAATTAGGCGAGCTGCATGGTTCCAAGTATACAGACAGCGAGTTGCATGGTTCCAAGTATACAGACAGCGAGTTGCATGGTTCCAAGTAAGCAGACAGCGAGTTGCATGGTTCCAAGTATACAGACAGCGAGTTGCATGGTTCCAAGTATACAGACAGCGAGTTGCATGGTTCCAAGTATACAGACAGCGAGTTGCATGGTTCCAAGTATACAGACAGCGAGTTGCATGGTTCCAAGTATACAGACAGCGAGTTGCATGGTTCCAAGTATACAGACAGCGAGTTGCATGGTTCCAAGTATACAGACAGCGAGTTGCATGGTTCCAAGTATACAGACAGCGAGTTGCATGGTTCCAAGTATACAGACAGCGAGTTGCATGGTTCCAAGTATACAGACAGCGAGTTGCATGGTTCCAAGTATACAGACAGCGAGTTGCATGGTTCCAAGTATACAGACAGCGAGTTGCATGGTTCCAAGTATACAGACAGCGAGTTGCATGGTTCCAAGTATACAGACAGCGAGTTGCATGGTTCCAAGTATACAGACAGCGAGTTGCATGGTTCCAAGTATACAGACAGCGAGTTGCATGGTTCCAAGTATACAGACAGCGAGTTGCATGGTTCCAAGTATACAGACAGCGAGTTGCATGGTTCCAAGTATACAGACAGCGAGTTGCATGGTTCCAAGTATACAGACAGCGAGTTGCATGGTTCCAAGTATACAGACAGCGAGTTGCATGGTTCCAAGTATACAGACAGCGAGTTGCATGGTTCCAAGTATACAGACAGCGAGTTGCATGGTTCCAAGTATACAGACAGCGAGTTGCATGGTTCCAAGTATACAGACAGCGAGTTGCATGGTTCCAAGTATACAGACAGCGAGTTGCATGGTTCCAAGTATACAGACAGCGAGTTGCATGGTTCCAAGTAAGCAGACAGCGAGTTGCATGGTTCCAAGTATACAGACAGCGAGTTGCATGGTTCCAAGTAAGCAGACAGCGAGTTGCATGGTTCCAAGTAAGCAGACAGCGAGTTGCATGGTTCCAAGTATACAGACAGCGAGTTGCATGGTTCCAAGTATACAACCAGCGAGTTGCATGGTTCCAAGTATACAACCAGCGAGTTGCATGGTTCCAAGTATACAGACAGCGGGTTGCATGGTTCTAAGTATACAGACAGCGAGTTCAGGGCCGTCTTTACAGCAGCGGAGGCCCTGGTCACAGTAAAGAACTGAGGCTCCTAACCCTCTATATACTCAGGACCGTGCGAAGGAGGGAGCAAGAGGGCCAGTAACCCCTGTCGCCAATATCATGGGGCGGCAAACTCGTCTTAAGTTATGCCCTTAATAATGAATTAATAATTAAACTATAAAATCTGATGTACTTCACATAGACGGGGACGGCCAAATCATTTTACTAGTGAGCCATGGGCACCGGTTTTCCTGGGATCAGCTGGCTATAGTTTACTTTCAAGTAATGTTATGAATAGCATTAGGGCTGAGGTTGGCCTACTTTCAAGTAATGTTATGAATAGCATTATGGCTGATGTTGGCCTACTTTTAAGTAATGTTATGAATAGCATTATGGCTGAGGTTGGCCTATGCGTTTTGACCAATTTCTTTCAGGTAATATTTTCCATGGGGGAGTGGGGGTAAAAGTTCAGAAATGTTTTGTTAAATTCAAATTGATGGGATGCATTTGGCGCATACATTAATTTAGACTTTACAAAAAAAATTTAAAAAATAACAATCCTTTTTCTGAGATTTGAACCCCGATCATGTGACCGTTTTCGTTACCACGTGACGTTACTGCTTTTTCTTGCCTTGCACTTTCTTTGGGCATGATTTGTGCTTTTATTCTCTGGATGAGGATTTTGCTACGTCAGCAAGGCTTTCCCATGAAATAAGGCCAATGTCCATGGATTTAAGTGAAGCTTTCTTTTCCCTTTGCCTATAAGCTGAACGTTTTCGGTTGGAGAGTCCACCGAATATTAGTCGTTTAGGAAGTCTGCTGTCTGGCATTCTCACAATGAGCCCTGCCAACCTGGCTTGCCCTTTTGATAGGAGCGTGTGGATGCTGATAAAGTCAGCTCGTTACTCCTGCCACCTTATGTCAAGAAGTTTGCGCAGACAGTGTGGGTGGAGATGGTTTAGTTGTATAGTATTATCAAATTTTAAAATAGGTCAGGGTTTTAATTGTATAATGTCAATAAAATAAAGCCTCTTAAATTTTGAGGGCCACGATTTCCTAAACCCTAAGCCTAGGCCTACTTACTCTATAGGACAGCCCATCTGGCCCAAGAAGCAGATGATTTTTGCCCTTGTTACCTTTTTCACCAAGAAACAGAAACCGTATCTCGACACGTACAAGCAGACGTCGTGATAGAAGCGGACAGCTTTTTAAAAAAATCGTTAGTAGTTTGAGTACAGTCACTTAGGTTTTCTAGTTATTGTTAGTAAGGTGAATGCGTCTTGCCAGTTAGGTGTATACTAAATAAAAGAGGTTGTGTGTGGAAAAGACGTTTAACATTGACATTGCGTAAAAGATTACAACTCAAATCCGAGATCAGATTCAAAGCATTATCATTAATTATTTGATTAAAGTGTGTCAATGTAGTGCATCAAGATGACTGGAAATCGACAACTGAAAATTTAACGATAAATGTAATCACTTCATAAATTAAATTTCGCTAGAATCAAAGCAATAAAGACAATTAATATACAATCTTATCGTTGGTTCTGGTATTGTATTTTCATTGCAACAATATCAATATATGCTTTTAAATTCTAATTTTCTATCCTTACCCGTACTCAAGCTGAAAATTTCAAATCATCCAACATGCACAGAAAGCAAACTGTTGGAAAGAGCTGTCACTTAGCTTTGCACCTATCACTTATATAGTTATAGAAGAAAGGGTTTGATTTTTTCATCGGTCTTATTTTTAGACTTAGGGGCCGTCCATAAAGTACGTCACCCTATTTTTGACCATTTTACCCCCCTCCCCCCGTCACAAACTGTCACAAATCTCGGAACCCCCCCCCCCCTAAAGTACGTCACACTTTCGAACAATTTTTTTTAAAATTT